TGCAGGCTTGGACGATGATGTTACTGTGTTTGTGGGTTTCTTCTGCACCTACCAATAACTTCATTTGGGTCTTTGTCCTGGACCTTCAATTGAGTTTCACTCTTTGAGCTATTCAATTTGAATTGTACTTTTAGTGTGTACTTTTAGTGCGTTAACATAAAGAGTTGCCAGTTTTTTTGGATGGGAAAATTGAAATTGTAAGCCTAGCACTTTATTTTTTGTATATTTATCTCCAACCTTACATAAATTAGTAAAGTTAATCCATAAATATGCTTTTCCATCAATTTTTGCGTGAGCTGCACCAGCCTTTTTCATAAGAAAAATGCTAGATGTACATCAAAAGATGTACATCAAGGTGTACATCACCTCACATGGAGGGGTCCACTCGAATAAAATATTCAAGTGGGCCCCTTACCCATGTGAGGGGGGTGTACACCGTGGTGTACACCCCGATGTACATCTAGCATTGCTCTTTTCATAATGCTGGAATTGTCAAAAAGCTTGTTATATTGCTATAAATGATAGTAGCATATACACGACATTTTTTCCCCATTTTAATTGCATTAAAGGTCCTTAACCATTTTTGTCTCAAACTTTTTTCAACACTATTATTCGTAACACTTCATTTATTAGCAAACTTAATCCTTAATGAAGATTTTTTTTTTTTAAACGGGATATAAATATTTAGTCTCAATTTTGTATAGGAATGTTAATGAGTTAGTCGAAACTCGAAACTTGCCCTTGGCTCGAATAAAAATAGTTCGAGTTTTTTTTTTGCCTGAGCCAAGCCGAGCCGAGCCGAGCCGAGCTTTTGCTTAGTTAAAAAATCTAGGCTCGACCCGAACTTTCGACTCGAGCACTATTAAGCCAAGCCTACTCATGATTTTTTTCTAAGGCCTTTAACAAGACAGCTTTGTTAATTTTTATTTTATTTTTTAAAAAACATAGGCAACAATCTGCTGCCTTCAGTCTTTAGTCTGCCACCTTGTTATTTTTTTTTTAAAGGTTTGGCTCGTCACGGGTCGAAAATGACTTGAGCACATGGGCTAACTCGAGCTTTTTCCAGGCTAAGCCATATGCCGAAGGAGCCGTCGAGCCAAATTGACACCCCTAATTTTGTATTTTTTTTACTTATTCAAAAATATAATATGCAAACGAGTTTTTTTACTCATTAGCGGATTTTTGAATAGAAACTATCATCAAAGACAAGATGTAAATGATTAATGAAAAAAGTTAAAGATGAGAATGTGATGGAAAGATTGAAAACATAAATGTAATAATGAATAAATATTATAAACCGTACAATTAAAATGTGATATGATGCACTTATGATAAATGTGATGTGAATATGTTTAATCCGTTAAAAAAGTCAATATTCTTGTAAAATATTATTTTATCCTCATTTATTTAAAATAAAAAAGAAAATGATAAGTAATAAAAATTAATTAGCAAAGAGAATTCCTTCACTGCACCGCACCCCATCCTTCCCTGGCCCGACATCACCACGATTGTCGGCAACATACTACTATCAATGACATTTCTAGGAGATTCAAAGCTCACTTCAAAAACCAAGAATGGAATTCAAGAAAATTAGGCTGCTTTCTCTTTGCCCTTTTTGGGCCATTTTCTGTTTTCGATTTTTCAAAACTGTGAAAATACGTTCTCTTTCCTATTTTTGAAAATGAGTTTTCAAAAATGAAAAAAAAAATTTTACACTGAAAAGGCCAAAACGTCTTTTCAGCGTTTTGGCTGTTTCTAGCAAAATCAAGCCAAAATTGAAAACACGGGAAATTGAGTTATTGTTCCTTCTCCCTTCCACAATCTGTATCTTCCTTATCTCATCTGGCATGTTTCTCTCCTCCAGCGTCGGTGACGACCACTACACCACCACTGCCACAGCCAAACATCTCTCCATCTCACCACCAGAAAGACTCAAGCACTGTACAAATTGCAGATCGGAACTAGAAGCAAAAAAAAAAAAAAAAA